GCAGTAAATAACTAGGAAGTGTTTGAGAGTTATGACAATCATGTCATAGCAGAAAAAAATAATTGAGGTGGGGCTATTTCTCTCAGTGAAATCTTTTCTTAGATTTAAAAAATGAAGGTGTGGGGTGGGGATTTAGCTCAGTGGTTTCGCTGCCTGCTGTGCGAGTGCAAGGACCCGAGTTCGATCTCCGGTACCAAAAAATAAAAAAAATAAAAAATGAAGGTGTAGGGAACTTGGGAAGTTTGGAAACAGTCAGAGTCCAAACTAACTTGAGGGTAAATTTTATACCCTGTCCTTGTTATGTATGAGTCATGGCCATAATACTCTCCCTGTGGAGAATTTTCTGTTCCTCAGGGTTGGTGCTCACGTAGCTCAAGAGAATAGGATATATAGGCTGTTATGTTCCTTTTTGAGGGACATATATGCACCTTAGTTCAAACTTCTTTCCAGAAGTTAAGTAGAAGGATGAGGAAGAATTCTGGCTTGGGGTTGTAGCCCAGTGGTAGAGGGCTTACCCAGCATGCTCCACACCCTGGGTTTGATCCTCAGTACTGCAAAACAAAAAGACCCAAATGCTCAAGAATTCTGCTTTGTCCTTACCAAGGTTCTGTTATAATCAGGGAATCACAACCCCTAAGATAACTGTGAGCTCCAGTCTTTATTCTGATTCTGTCTTGGTTAACAAAATCTCCCAACTAGTCGGTGCTTTTTTGGGGGGGGGTACCAGGGATTGAACTCGGGACCTTGTGCTTACAAGGCAGGCGCTGGAACCACTGAGCTAAATCCCTGGCCCTAGTCAGTGCTTTTATGTGGTGGTTTTCTGGAAATCCTCAAGTAAAGATGTATTCAGTGTTTGTTAGCATTGAAAGCGTGGAAACGAAAAGACTTAGAATTGATGTTTGTTTATTCAATTAAATGCAGTTCCTTATGCTCAAGTGAGGCTTTCATTGCTCTTGTAGCCAGTTTCTCCAGTTTAGGAAGTTAGAAAAGGTATTGATCATTTAAAGAAACCATGGTGCTTCTTTGTGCCTTGACTCTCTCCTTCCCGTGTGAATACCCCATGGAAGGGTATTTGACCTATTCATACATTAAACTAGTGAACGACTTACATGGGACTTGGACGCTAGCAACTGCTTAACGTGTTGAGAATAGTGAACTTGTAAAAGTACATATACTTAGGGGCTGGGGATTTAGCTCAGTGGTTCTGGTGCCTGCCTCGCAAGCATAAGGTCCCAAGTTCGATCCCCGGTACCAAAAAAAAAAAAAAAGTACATATACTTATTTAAAAAGACACAAGCTCTCACTCCTATGTTGTCAGTAGAATTGTAAATTCGTACAGTTTTCATTGGAGGAGATGTTGGCAGTAAGTATCCAAGGTCACAAAAATGTTCTTCGACCCAGTAAATGATTTCTTTTTCTTTTTCTTTTTTTTTTGGTACCAGGGATTGAACTCAGGACCTTTTGCTTGCCAGGCAGGCACAGTGTCACTGAGCTACATCCCTGGCCTGATTTCTGGGAATTTATCCAAAACAATTTTTAAAAAGACATAAACTGTGTTAAAAGAGGTGCCTAGCAGCACTCTGCATAATGATAAAATCCTGAAAATAACATAAATGCTAAATAATAAAGGACTATTTAAGCAGTTTATGGATTTTCAACTATGAAGAATATTACATAGCTATGAAAAACAATAACCATACCATGTACCAAAAGCAAAGATGTTCATTCGTTTATTTATTTATATTTATTCAGTGCTGGGGATTGAACTCAGTGTTTCCTGCATGTTAGGCAAGGGCTCCACCACTGAGCTACACCCCAGCCCCTGGGAAGGTGTTTATAACCATTCGAAATCATCAAGGCATTTTGTAGCATCCACCAGTTATGCTCCCCAGAAGAAACAGCAAATTCATTTTTTAAAAAAATGGGCAGAGGATTGAACCCAGGGTCTTCTGCATGGTAGGCAAGTGCTGTCCCAGTCAGCTATAGTCCCAGTCTCAAAAGAACAAATTCTAAGGTAAGTGATGATGGTGAAATGTCACATCTTTGGGTTTTTATCATAGATTTCAAAAACTGCAAAGATGACATTGGGAAAAGTCAGACATGTAGAAATCTTTCTAAATTTCCAGGTGACGTTCAGAGAAGAGACAGAATGTACTTTTAGCACTGATGAGTGACTCTAACCACATTCTACACACAGGGGGAGTCAGCTACCTTTAGAAGGCTCTGGGTATGCTTAAGGGCTCAGAGCAATTCTATAGCCCCTGTCTTGCAGGGAGACTCCTTTGGGAGCTGGACAGTTAATTTGTTTTTGGTTTTTTTGGTACTGGGGATCAAACTTGGGACCTTGTGCTTGCGAGGCAGGCAGTGGAACCACTGAGCTAAACCCCCGGCTCTGGACAGTTAATTTGGAATAAGATTTAAAATTCACAAAAGTCCAGATTTGGCTGCCTCACCCCCTGCACTGGTGGTGGTCAAAGTGCCCTTAAGTTGAAGGAAGGAAGGAAGGTGAAGGAAAATGCCTTTAAGTTAGTACGGTCACAGTGAACACTACCCTTTTAACTTGGGAGGCCACCTAAGGACGGCAAAAAGAAGAAAGACATGAGAAAGTCAGCTAAGAAAGGGAAAAGGTGGGCATTGTGCTGCATGCTTGTGATCCTACACTCTGGGGGTCTGATGTAGGAAGATCACAAGTTGGGGCCCAGCTGGGCAATTTAATGACTTAGTGAGACCCTGTCTCAAAATACAAAATAAAAAAGGGCTGAAGGCGTAGAGGGCCAGACCAGAAAGAAGTGATCCAAAGACAAAGTTTGTGACAAGCTCAATAACTTAGTCTTGTTTCAAAAAGCTTCTTGTTGGTGCACACCCATAATCCCTGCATTCAGGAGGCTGAGGCAGGAGGATCGGCATGAGTTTGAGGCCAGCCTGGGCTACATAGTGAGTTCAAGGTCAGCCTGAACTACATAGTGATACTCTGTCTCAAAACAAAAACACCCAAAAGGCTACTTGTGACAATCTCTACCGTAAGGAAGTTCCCAACTATAAGTTTCTAAGCCCAGAGGTTGGGGAAGGTGCATGAACAGATCCAAGCAATTTTACATTTGGAAAAATAAAACTTTATCAAGTTAAAGGAGATACATGTCTTTTGTGTCTGCCTTCTGTGCAGGTAGTTGGTACTTCCCTTATCGTCCAGGTGCCTATTCAACCCATTAATGTTGCTTACAGAATGTTAGGGTTCAGGAGGTCCTGAGGCCGTATCGGATTTCTTTGGCTACACTTTAGCTCAGTCCCTCAATGTTGGGAACAAGAGCATTAAGGCAAAGTATTAGCCTGTTCCCAACTTTCCCAAGAGCAGGAAAATAGGTAAATACTTAAATTTGAGTGGGATATCTTATTAGTTTGCACAGCACAGGAGAGGGAGAATTTATGGGAGCACGGACTATCAGGACCTATTACATTAAGCTCAAAATGTCAATCTGCAAACCTGAAAACTGGGTTTGCCGGGATCTACCACACTGAGTTAAGCATACACATACTGGAACGTTTATGTGCGCACACAGGTTGATTGTTGTTTCTAAGCCATCAAAACTTTAGGTTTGACATATATATGTGTGTATGTATATATATATATATGTTTTTTTTTTTTTTTTTTTTTTTGAGAGGGTCTCTCTGTGTAGTCCAGGCTGGCCTTGAACTCAATCCTCCTGCCTCAGTCTCCCAAGTGCTGGGATTACAGGTGTGTGCCACTACACCTGGCTGACAGTGACATTTTTTTATATATGGATATTTCAGAATAAGGGCTTGGAGAAAGGACACATGATGGATCCTGAACTTGAGGCCAAGGTGTAGAGGCTGTGACAAGAAAACACAAGTTTCCAGGGGATGTAGCCTAGTGGTAGAGGAATTTCATACCATGGGCAACCTCTGGGTTTAATTTATAGTACTAAGGTGGGGGGAATGAGGAGAAAGAGAAAAGAAAAGAAAAAGAAATCCCAAGTGGGATGTAGGGAAATAAGGAAATTTTAGAAAAAAATGTGTTTGTTCAGGAGTCTATGAGTTGTGCTCAAATGAGGTCATGCCTTGATTAAAAGCTAGGAGTGTTATAAATATCTTTATATTTAACATTAAGCACCCAAATATTTAACGATCCCATATAGTTCAGCTCCAGGAATCAGCCAGCACCTATCCTGCTGTACCCAAGATTATAGGCTGAAAGTCAGATAGCTACTATGTGCGGAAAGTTTGTGTTTTGAATAGAGAATTAAAAGGCAGGGTAAGGGTGGTAATGGTGACGTTGGAGCTACAAAAGCAAACATGTTTTAGTTAATTGGATTGAAATTATGTGATTTGGGGAAACTTTTCAGTGTAGAAAGCTGTTGGTGCACTGTTACAGGAAGGTGAGTGATGAAGCCCGTGAAAGATCAGATGTTGACATGGTTTTATGATTGAACAGAAGAGCATGAAGCAAAGGGTGAGCTGTGGCTTTGGCTCTGCAGAGCCAATGAGCAAGGAACACTAAAGCCTTGCTGTTCCCATCCCCAGGGCACCCTTTTGTGAACAACATGAGCTACTTGAGATGGAGAAACCGTATCAGAGTGCTTTTAGTTCACCTTAAAAAGTACCTCAACCTGCCATGGAGAGAATATGGTGTCCTGCCAGGGTCATTCCAACAGACTCCTCTGGGCCGTGTGGCCTTGAATTTGAGAGGGAATCAGATGCCTTCTAGATGGACAGATGAGGCTATGTGTGTATCCCACAGGTTTACAGGTTTACCTTGGGTACTTTTTGGCTGGTTAATTTGAGCAGGCACCCACTTTTCGTACCACGGGTCCTGTCCCTCAGAGAACCATATGCTGGTTATAGGCCAGGTCCTTGAACTGGGTCTAAGTAGCAGTATGTGGCTTGTTCCTTCTTTCTCTACATCTTCTTCCCATCAACCTGCAAGTTCACTGTGGCCAACATTCCCTTGACTGGCTGAGGAGAGAGAGGAACTTACACTTGGAAAGAAGATTGCTTTGTACTTTATTTACAACAGAATGTAAGAAAAAGTAAGTTATTAACAATAATAAATAACTGGGGGAGGGGGTACGACACAGTACAGCCATAAAATGATACAGAAGTATGGTGTATGTGAGGATCAACTTCCACTCGCTCCACTTGTCGTCTGTAACACTGCATTCTAACACTTGGTCCTTCAGCAGTGGCAGTGGTATTTGGACTAATTTAACCAATCAAGATCCCAGCTCAAAATGTAAACACTAAAAATTACACTTGAAGCTACACATCAATGACATAGGGATAAAATCAGTTCAAAGAACCTCTTGTCTTCTTGGCGATACAGAGAAACTGAAGAGAGAGACCGGCAATCAACAGGCACGACTTTAACTGAAAGCAAAATTCTAAAGCATCGGTTAACTTCATAACAACATGACAATTAATTATGGCATCTGAAAAGTTCTCAACATAATCACATTCTCTTATTGCACTAACTCCTACAAAGCTTAAACACTTACATTTCAAATGGTAAGAGATTGTTTTGAAAGTAGAACAGGGAAGAACCCAACATGTTTTGCCTCAGCATGCCAACCAACACTGCTATTGTGTGACACTTCAGTTTCAGCAAGAATGAACAGTCGAAAGTAGTTTATTTATGATCAAGTTACATTCACTGGACAGGATTTTTTCCCCTTAATTTTAACAACTCAGATGGCAGATACCTAGTCTACTGAGTCAAATGATCAGAAGTACTAAAACTGCTTAGACAGTTCTTCTCTATTGGATTATCTGATTATACATTTTATGTAGAGTAAATTATACTCTGGCCCCTCTCAAAAATAAAATTCCCAGGGCCGGAGATTTAGCTCAGTGGTTCTGGCCCCTGCCTCGAAAGCACAAGGACCTGAGTTCGATCCTTAGTAAAAAAAAAAAAAAAAAAAAAAAAAATCCTATTGACCTAGGCCAGCCAGTAACCTATTACTTTGTGATCTCTGAGCCATGGAAACATACTAAAGAAAGTAGAATTATTTTTCATTTTGCTATGCTGAGGATCAATCCCAGGGCACCTGCTAGGCAAGTACTCTACCACTAAGCTGTATCCCCAGTCTAGAAAGAAAGTATAATTTAGAAATATAAATAAAAACATTCACCTTAAAACTTGCACTGAAAAATGATTCATCAAGATGTGTCAGAATCTACTCTCTTAGTTCACTGTTTATTATAGTGCCTTGAAATAAAACCACATAATTACTTGGGGGGGGAATTGTTGGGTTTTTAAGCATCTTCATTCCATATCCTCAACTACACTACTTATCTTCACAATCCAGAACATGGCTAATACATACCTCTAAATAAATTAAGACTACTTTTCCACATATAGATGCAAAAACAGAAGGGTGTATAAATAAGGTCACCAATAAACTCAGATTGTTTCAATCATAATGGTGGCAACTAAAAATGTCACAGCCTCTTTCATTGTTATCTTTTTTCCTTTGCTTTATTTTACTACAGCTCAAAATGAAATGATCTTTACAGGTGATTTCTGACAAAGTTTATGCAGTAGAAACACTGAGACCTTCTTATCCTGGAAAAGCACAGCCAAAGCAAGAATGCTATACTACAGTCAACAAAAACCACAGGGACATTTCACATTTGAAATCCACCCAAATTAATGAAGCTTATGGTCATTTTGATGGTTTCTGCTAACATCAGAGATGAAGAGGGATGGACATATGTATTAGCCTATGGATTATCTATTTTAATTTGGCTACCAGATACTTAAAACTGGTGGTGTGTGACTCACTACACTATATTTATATATATACAGGTATAATACAATTTTGGTGAACAAAGCTGAAGGTTTCCACATTGCAGACAGAGGCACTGAGTTAAGGATTCTGTTTTTCCTCAAACATGCTTAGCAAATTCAAGTTTCTGCTTTTTTTTCCTTTTAAATTTCCATCATGCAACCATTTAATTTCCATCCTTATAAGATAAGAATTATTAATGTTATATATACACACTCATTGCAGGCTTGTATCCCACAATAACAAATTCATGTATGGAGAAAGTGAAATGATAGGTAGAAACCAAGGTTTATAAAATATTGAAGTCATTTATGCCTTGGATGACTAGATTATTCAAAGCAACTAAAGGAATACCTGCAACCCCCCACCCCTTGTAATGCTCACAAACCACACGTAGACAGAAAAACTAGACATACTTTAAGAGCACATATTTGTTGGTTAAGAATCACACTATTGTGGGTAGCTTTGCAATTGATGTCTGTGGTATTATATTGGCTATAAAAGAAATAAAAGTCACAAAAGGAAATCAGAAATTAGCTTTCTAAAACATATCAAGTCGTTGACCTTGACAGCAGAAGCTACTTTATGAAAAAGGAAAATAGCAATGGTATTCATGGAAAAATTTGGTGCCAGATATGAAAACAACCTGCACAAGAAATTTATTCTATAATGAAAATAATGATCCCATCCCTACCCTGATTTCAGCTTGCAAATGGTAAGCAACTACATATACACATCCACGTATTCTGCAAATAGAATTTTGCTTTCTGAAGCCAAAAATTCCCATTAAGTACTAGTACGTGGAGAGGGAGCCATTGAGAAGTTCAAGGGGGTTGATAAAAGACTAAGTTTTCTCACAAGCAAAATTCATGCTTCCATACCATGCAAAGAAGGTGTCTTACTATGATACTATCATTCTTAAGTAAAAGGTGTATGGTTGATCTAAGCTATACGCAACCAGTTTCCTTTGAGTACAGAGTCTGTTTTCCTTGTAAGCTAAATGTCAATCTATAGATAAAGAAATGATCAAGACACTTGAACACTTTGGTGCTGGGCTCACGGGGCCAGCGCCTGCACCTTGGAGAGTGTTTTGACCTGAACGACTACACAGAGTGTCGAGCACTGGGAGGGGGAGCAGGCAGGGTCCACTGGCTGAGAGGCTCTGAGGGTAGGAGAAGATGCTCCTTGGTTTGTTTGGTTTCCTTTGGAATCTTGTGTTTTGGGAAGGTCCATTTCCTGAGGTTGGAGGTTATGGCCCAGAAGGCAAGCTAGGTAGGGCGTGGGCCTCAGAGATGCTCAATTATCTTGTTCTCTTCCTCTCTGGGAGGACAAATGTCAGTGTTGAGATTCTGCTTGCTCTCCCTCAGGTGTTTAAAGGCAGTGAGGTGCAATCGTGACAGATTGCTCTCTTTAAACCAAAGAAGAGCTCTCTTCTCTGTCACTTTGATAAAAGATCTTATCTTCTGTCAACATTGATTCTAATCTTGCAGAAATGAAAGCAAGACAGAGAGACATTTGTTATTAATCCTGCCTCCCCCCACTTTGTTTTACAAACAGGAGTCAGAAATTCTCATTCTCTTCCTCCACTTGGCAGTATTTTCTTGATTTCCACAATATCCTCAATATTTGAATTTCTCTCTTTCCCCCCTTTCTCTTTCTTTCCTTTGTGTGCAGTGCTGGGGATTGAACCCAGGGCCTTAAAACATGCTAGACAAATGCTCTACTACTGAGCTACAACCCCAGGCCCCACTATTTGGATCTTCTTCCCTATGGTCTGGGGGTGGGCAATCCTTCCCAGGGAAGTTTGGATGTTACTAAGAGTAAAATCAGGAGGGAATCGTAGATGATTCTGTTTCTCATGATTCACACCCCAGATATTCTCACAGTGTTAAAGTCCAGTTAGCTTACTCTACCCTTGAACTTCTTCGAATGGGCAAATAATTAATGAATTCTATTCAGTTAATTGAAAATTCTGAGAAATCTTAAAGGATGATGGAAGCTGGCAAGTCAAGGTTTGTTGGTACCTGTAGAGAAAAGAGATGTTTGTCTCACCTGGGCCTCTTGATTCCTAAACTGAGCCATTCTAAATAAATCAGTTACGGTGACATTCATCCATGCAACTCTGGAAGATTTCTGAGGCCACAAGGGCACAAAGGGGAAAGCTATTAAAAGACAGATACAAGCGGAATCTTTATTAAATTCTGTGAAAGGTATAAATAAGTTATTATTAATTGCACTTGGAGCCTTTATGGACTGATAATTAAAATTTTCAAAAATTTAAATAGTTAATTAGGCCCCAAATCCTGAGTCAGACTAACCAAAAATAGGAATCTCAGTAACTATTGGTATTCAAGTATTGGTGGTCAACAGTTCAAAATTTAACAATTGGTTATGTGATGCCTGAGAATAGTTTTGAGAATTTCAGGTTTGATGGGAGGAAAGTGCCTTCACTACTTTACCACACCTGGCAACAAAGTGGTGTAAACTTCCATATATTTACTCTTGAAGTCCATGCCAACCTCAACAAATGCCAATGAACAAGGCTTTCTCTCTGGCTGACAGTGGTGGCTATAGAAGATTCCTTCTGGTTTTTGCAAGGCTTACATCTTACATGTACTATGATGCTGTGTGGCACACTTAGGGATTCATATTATTTGTGAAATTACTTAACCACATGCACACTCGGAGATCAAAGGAACATGTCTGAGTGACAAGGCAGTCTTTTCCTATACCAGAAGATTCCTTAAAAAAACCAAAAAACAAAAATAAAACCCAAAATGAAAATACAAAACCCCATGAGATATTCATATGGAGTTACTCTGATTTGGGCCGACATGGCTTATCAGAAGAGTGCATCCCAGGTAAATTCAGGGTGGCTTTTTTCTCAGGGTCTGGAAGCGTGAGAGTTTCTGGAGCAGACTTCTTCCGGGGCCGATCTTTGGGAACACTCAGAAATTCTGGCGCGTCTGTGGACAGGGGTGTGGATGGAGCGCTGGACGGGGCGCTGCGCACTGAAGAAGGCAGCAGGGGTATGCTGGAGATCGAAATTGCAGGTGGGAAAACGCCGATTTTCTTGTTGGTGGCTTCCTGAGTGGCTCGTTCGAATTCCCGGACTTCATCCATTGTCATGTCTTCAAAGGGAAAAACAGAGAGAAAATGAGCAGTTATTTATGAGAGATACAAATGGATCCGTCATTACATTTGTTTTTAAAGAAGCTACAGGGAGGGCCGGGGATTTAGCTCAGTGGTTCCGTCGCTTGCCTTGCAAGCGCAAGGACCCGAGTTCGATCCCTGGTACAAAAAAAAAAGAAACAGCAACTATGGGGAGGGCTGGGGATTTAGCTCAGTGG